CCAAGAAAGAAATCAGAGGAAAAATTCCTTTCAGAACAGCCTCAAGTAATATAAAATACCTTGGGGTATATTTAACCAAGCAAATGAGAGGCTTGATAAAATTTCATGCCTTTCTAGAAAGAAACTGAAGAAGATATCAGAAGATGGATTGCCAATGCTCATGGATCAGTAGGATTAACACAGTAAAAACGGCTATCTTACCAAAAGCAAAGTTAATCACTAGACTAAAACCTGCCCTTGCCTTAACTTCTGATATTATTCTGTCCAAATTGGACAGGTAGGACACAAAAGAAGGCAACCGTCAAAAATTTTCAAGACAAGGTTGGATAGTCCTTCAAAAATTACTGCTTCCCAGGAAAGTCTGTCATCTCTTCTAGACCTATAGGCTGAAGATGGATGCCTCAGCATTGCAAAGGAACCTTGGGTAACTTACCAGCTGACTCTGACATTTCTATAGCTTTGGAAGTTATTTCCTCTAAACTTTGTGATTACTGAGGCAAAATTATATCCTTTTTAGGTTTCTGATAGGAGTTAAAGACTCGGCAGTTATACTATATTCTTTGTTACCAAATTAATTCAGAAAAGAAACTCAAAAAACATATGAATTGTACAATGTTGATAAGCATAACTGGTTTATTTAAGAAAATGTTTTAGGTCTAAAAAAGATAATTTTAGGTTGGCAATAAAAGATATGATAGAAAGTTGTTTAGTTATACAAGGTTGGACACACCAAGATAGGTTGGATAATGGAATAATATCTCTTGAATTTGCTAAGTATAAATGGACTGGTGTTTTAGTGTTTCTATTGCTGCAATGAAGAACCATGACCAAAACAGCAATTTGGGGAGGAAAGTGTTTATTTAGCTTATACCTGAGCATTGTTGTTCATCACTGAAGGAAGTTGGAACAGGAACTCAAACCTTGCAGGATCCCAGAGGCAAGAGCTGGTGCAGATGATATAAAGCAGAACTGCTCCCCATGGCTTGTTTAGCCCACCTACTTATAGGACCACCTGCACAGAGATGGCATTAACAACTATGTGCTGGACCCTACCTATTTGATCACTAAATAAAAGAATGGCTTACTGCTGGATCTCAACAAGGCATTTCCTGTCAATGAGGTATTTCCTCAATTGAAGCTCCTTCTCTAATGATTCTAGTTTGGGAAGGTGGGTTCACCTTAAGACAATATACTTTTCCTCCCTAGTTTCTTAGGGCCTAGTTAAGTTCTTATGAGACACCAGATGGTTTTCCTGGATCTGTTCCCTGTCTGAGTTCTTATTGGGAAAGTCATAACTATTAATTTTCCTCTATGTCATTTTTCTTATGCTGAACAAAACCTAAGTACACCTTTATGCTTCATAACTCTGAGCATCTGTGCTCTTTTTCAAATGCTTCCCTTCCTTCCAACTTTTGGATGCCTGCCTTTGTGAGACTGACCTCCATCCCAGTTTATCTCTTTCATTCTCTTCCTATAAATTCGGATCTGTGAGATTTACTGCTTTGTCTGCTCTGGGATTTTCCTTTAAAACACTAATAAATTCTCCACAAGGTCTATTTGTCTGTCTTTCATCCTTGTGAGTCCTTCTTTAAAATAACTTTATGTAATACTACTAGTAAACCTAAAAGGTGATCACAATTTCTTGAGTGCCATATGATGGCCTTTTCAAGGCTTCCCAGAAGGTCAAGTAACAGTTCATTCTTTCTTTTTAATTGTTTAATTGGCAAAGAAAATGAACCCACTCCTATTTCTGCAGTCCTAGATTACAGCAATCTTATTCTATTTTTGTTCATAACATGCCCCTCAGTTATAAACATCAGACTATTTCATAGGTCTTTTAATACATGAAATGGAAATTTTTGCTGAGATTATGTTCTGCCCTGCTCTATGGTATTTCATACTATATGAAACATGGCATGTGCTGTCAGTATTGAAGGGAAAGTATAGCTGCACTATATGAGTAGATGTAGAAACTGCATCATCTCTCAGGCCCCTTCATTAAGCACAGTGTCAATAATGAATTATTCCTATTAGTAGAAAGAGAGCCACCCTATATAAATGTTGGAGAGACTGAAAACCATGGGTTACGTAGTCATCTCATAATCATATGAAGGAAATTCGGCCTGAGGACATACATACTGGACACACCAGATTGAGGAAAGGGCATAACTTTTGCACCCAGCCAACATGAAGTGATGGAAGTGTAACACTGTAATGTCCTGGATGCACATCAATCTAGCATTTGATACCTGGAACAAAGGTCATGGACTAAGGACTCCATATTCAGATCTATTTCTCACTGTTAATGCAGACTATTCAACTGCCTACCTCTCCAGAGTTTGCATGTGTAGACCTGCACATGACCCATTTCTTGATCAGGCATTTTGCCTTGCATTATACAGCCTCAAACTTAAACCAGGCATCAACAGTGTCTACTAACTGCTCCTTTGTCACTGGTCTTGTTAACTGACTCTCTATAATGACTTGGTTTATAGCAGTTCTGAAGCATCTTTAATATGATTCAGCCATTTAAACCTATATTCATTCTGCAATGCACACACATATGTACATTATATATTACATATGTATATATAAAGAAGAGATATACAAATATATTGACTCTGTTGTGTGTTATGAGAAGTAATGTTGGTAACTAAGGGTGGAATAAAATAATGGCCATTTGCCTTAGGCAAGATACCAATGTAAACAAAAATTCTCAGTGATATACACAATTAAAAGTATTTCAGTATTCTCAAATGGACAGTAATTTTGTCATTACTGTCATGCCCCACTCTAAGTTATACTACGATATTTAACTGTAGTTTATTGGGTAATAAATTTCATGGGGAGTATAGAGAAGGAAACTGCTCCACGTGCTTCACCTTCCTTACAGACACTGTGCTCTCAAATACAGAACATTTTCTCATGGCAAAGGACTGACTCAAAGAGTTATAGGTATTTCAGTGGCAAAACAGCAATTACTCTACAAGAAGTCTACATAATACTTCTAAATATCCCTTCATGCAGAAAGAAATTTTCAGCAAACACACAAAGAAGTATCTCAAAATTTTGCATTGTAAAGCAGTTTTATTCTTAAACTGAACACATGAAAATTGTTCCTTAATCAATCCAAATTTCTTACACTGTGTTTTTTAATGTGAAACAGTTATTTATGCTTGTAATTATATCATCACAATCAATTTATGATTATACTTTTGGTGAATTTTTATATAAATCATTTCAGTAAGAATTTAGAAACCAGTTTAGGCATAACCAAAAGGAATGTCTATTAATCTGTTTGTTACATAAATAAACATTGTCTTTAAAACTGCCATTCATGTAGTACATTGCCTGGTGAGGGTCCAATAAAACCATTTTCTCTTTTTTGTATATTTGATATAACATGTATTAAAATGTACTGTTTATCAAGGGCATGGACTGTACCTCTTTCCCCATTTAGTATCACTCCAGTGTGCTAATTGTAAACCAAAATTAGTAATAAGATGAGAGGGTGGAAATGTCTTCCCTACTAATGGGTTTGGTTACTAATTCATATTCCCTTTAATAACAGCAAAATTGTAGTGAATTTTCTTTACTCACTTTCTACTGCCTAAATCAGCTCCAGCAGCCAACAATGGGCTAACCAAGAATAATTAACAAAAAGTTACCTTGAAAATATCTGTATTTTTAAACATTAGGCATTGAACTAAATTGTTATGACTTGTTTGAAATGTAAACAACCCTCGTGGAGATTTTGTTGAGTACCATGCCTGAGCTATAGACATGAATATTACTGCAGTTAACCTTCGGTGATTTGAAACCTTTCAATTAGCGAGGGTAAAAAAATTCTTCCTGATAACATTTTATAAAGGGGTATATATATATATATATATATATATATATATATATATATATAATTACATTTCTCACTCTCTGCTCACACAGTAGATCTCAGATGTATTGAAAATAGTAAAAAGAAGTCACACTCTTAATGTTCAAGGTAACCCACTGTAGCTGTATGATTCAGGAGATTAGAAAGAAAGATCTATTGGGCATTGCTCCTGTTGTTTTTGCAGATATCATAACACTTCATTGGCATTCCAACGGGAGTCGTCAAATTAGAAAATAAGCTCTCCTGGACATTGCTCCTGTTACTTTTAGATTCAATAACACTTTTTTGGCATTTTCCTTGTTTCTGACAATAAGCTAGTAATATTTTAGTGAATCAAATATCATTTAAGTCTACAGAAGGAAGGCTGCCCAAAAAAGGATCCACTAGTATGCAATCATTGTTATTTCTATATTGTGAGATGTATTAGTGTTGTGAAAGACAAGACATGTTTAGTGCTTGTAAAACCGCATGCCTTGATAAATTCAGGTACTGTAGGGGCACAAAGTATGGATTTTTCATCACTTGGGTAATGCACTTGCTGTATTATGGTGATTGATTCAATCCTCAGTAACTCAAGCACTGGATAAAACAGAGGAAAATTCCTGTTATTATAGTTGGTGTCACAGAGTTATTCTTCTGCTGTAATCACAGCACAGTCTATTAGCTCTACACTATTTGGGGCCTCTGAATTTAAAAACAAGGGCATAATTAAATGATGGCTGCAGAGCCATCTTAGGTGAAGAATTCTGTTAGAATATCTGTTTGATTTGAAAGAATTTGCAAGGCCATGAAAAATCAGAATAATTGATGTCACTATTGACTTCCAATTCTACTTGGGAAGTGGGAAAAGCAGTTATTTTATACAACGGTTTTTGTGGTTTTTCTTGGGGTATGATAGTCCAAATATTATTGATTGTAGTGTTCAATAGATATTTCAGAGATAAAAGATGAAATACAATAGGTTAGAAGTAGGTGCTGAAGCTGTCATTCTTACTGTGGGAGTAGTGGTCAGAGTTAAGGGAAGGACTTGAGTTGAGATTGTTAGAAGGGAATCGGTACAAGGTGAAGGCATGGTCCATAAATGGAAAGAAGGAAGAATCTCAAATATCTATTGATGTTCACTGGGCAGGGTTATTGTTTCAGAGTTAAAAATGGTTGCATGGTAGTCTGTTGAGGAGCCAGGGACGAGCTCTAGTGTAATTTGCCATCCTGTCACAGGGACTGCACAGATTGATGTACTATTATCTTCTTCATCAGTGACTGCGAAGGGGACATGTTGAACACTGATATCAGGGTTGATATCTGACACTTCAAATTCTGATTTATTCTCCCAAAACTTGAGGCTGGCATTTTGGCTCTCATATACTTGTTGAAGACATTGTACTATTACTGGGAATGCAAAGTCCTTATGGTTTGTAATTTGCCTTTTGATGGCCCACCATTTACTACGCAGCCATTGTGGTGAACGAACACTTTCCCATCCTTCAGCTAAGTCATCCCAGTGAATTTCATTTTCATCAGCTACATCAAGCTCTGCTAGTCTGTGGATGAGAGCGACTTCATCTTTCCTGGACCACTCAATTCCTCCAGCCTGTTTCCAGTTCATGTAGTTGAGCCATTTAGTACGACATTGCTTTGCTGAGCGAGTACCTACTCGTTGAGCCACAGCTGCCCAGCACACACCCTGCGTGACTTTCTCACCCACCTCAGTGCATGTCAGTTCATGCACTGCATCTACAAGAATCTGTTCTTCTTCTTCGGTCCATTTTCCTGCCTTGCAAGGATGTTTCATCAGTCGGCACCGGTCTTTCACAGAAGATGGACTTCTCCCCATGGCGGCACCTATTTTTATCCAGTCATTGCCGTACTCCTGCCAGAGCTCCTTGAGCTTCTCAATTTCTTCAGGGGAGTACTTTCCCACATGGTTTCTGTCATCATACATTCGGATCACTCTTCTATAAACTGAAAACAAAGGCCGATTCAGACCCAGTGATATAGACCTGTAGAAATCTTTGCGTTTACCTTTTGACATCTTAAAAATGATTTCTGCAACATTCTCTACTCCATGTTCCTGCATATAGCGTTCAATGTTGTTCATCAAAATATTTGTTTCTTCCTTGGACCACATCCCCTGCTTCCATTTATGTCCTTGTTTGTTTAGATTATCTTTATCTTCTTTACCTGTCAACCATGCTTGTCTAACAACTGACTTTTCCTCATTAATTAAGGGAAATTCTTCATCTGGTTTGTTATCTTGTAAAACCTGGAATTGCATCATAGTTCCTTCTGTAATCTCTTCATCTTCCACCTCTGTAGCCCTGGTTGTGTCAAAATCAAAGCTCTGATCCATTTCTGGTACTGGGAATGCAGCAGCTGGCATGCAGTGAGTCTCATCAACCTCTGAAGACAAGCGAAGCCTCTTATTTGGATGTTCAGTAGTGTTTTCAATTTCATCTGCTTCTTTCTGAAGGCATAGAATGAGGTCCCTGTCTGTGTCCTCAGTAAGTAAGACAGAACTCACAATCTCTACTGTTACTGGATCAGGACCCTCTTCAAATGTACTCATCTTCAAATATAGTTACAGGCTAAATCAGCTACAACATTTCCTATAGACTCAAGTCACTATCCCTTAATCTGGAAAAGCTAAAAGGGATGTTACCTGCAATGCTTGCCAGTTTGGCACTGGCAAACAGAGTCTTAGCTAGAACAGGTAAGTGTGACAAACCATTTGGAATAGCTGTCCTTATAGATGCTTAATATGCTACACTTTATCTTTTCTCCTGGTCAGTTGGCAATGTGTGTTTGATGATAAACCTGAGAAAACACGACTAGTTCAAGCAGGTCCAAAATAATTAAACATGGAATCTTCAGAGAACTGCTGATTTATCTCAATGCATTACCATTCTGAAAATTAAAAATATGTATACATTAATTGAATTTTAGGAAGATTTTATATTTCCAATGCAATGCTTGCATCAAATACCAAGCTGAAATAGACAGAAACTGTAATGTCTTTGTTTACATGGGTTTATAGTGTAAATAAGAAGACATCTCTCAAGCAAACTTCAGAATAGAGGACAATTTTAGATATTAAGACTTTTACACATATTTTTACTTCCATAAAAATGTAAAAGGTGTACTAAAAGAAGGTAAGTATGATTTTTAGAATCCAGGAATCCTAATAGAATAAAATGTTACAATGTTATAGTGTAGAAACTAATGTGCCTTGAGTTTCATGGTAGAAGTTATTTAAATTGTATAATGAAGGGTCTATTTGGTAGCAATTGTACTTTGTTTTTCATTTATTGCTTTGGACCAATAAAGTATATGCATATAGGACATCTCTTAGGAAGTGTGGACAATACTTTAACACTTTGTATCCCTACTGACACATAGCATCCCTATTGAGAGTTGAATGTATGTTGTGTATGTTTGATGTTTATTTATCATGCTAAATATTTCCATATAAAAACACAATAGCTTGCATACTGTCTCAAATTTGACTACCATTATCTTGTTGAAAATCATATTCTTGTATCATGTGTGCAAATGTCTTTCCTAAAAATGATAAACTAAATTATCATACACTTTCAAGTTTTCTCTGTCTTTTATATGAGTTCAAAACTATACATGGTAAGTTCATTTGCCTTTCTTGATGTTTTAGTGCTCATTTCTGGAGAAATATGCATTTTCCATGGTAGTATTTTCTTTTTTGTCATTACCAAAAGAAAAAGGAAGAAGAACCTACACACAATAGCTCCACTACCAATAAATCAAACACAAACAAGAATCATCAATCAATGGTCACTAATATCCCTCAATGTCAATGGTCTCAACTTGCCTATAAAGAGACACAGTCTAGCAGAATGGATACGAGACAGAACCCATCCTTCTGCTGCATAGAAGAAACACATCTCAACATCAAAGAAAGATGTTACCTCAGAGTAAAGGGTTGGGAAAAGATTTTCCAATCAAACGGACCCAAGAAACAAGCGGGTATATCAATCCTAATATCTAATAAACTAGACTTCAAATTAAAATCAATCAAAAGCGATGAAGAAGGATATTTCATATTCATCAAAGGAAAAGTCCATCAAAATGAAGTCTCAATTTTGAACAACTATGCCCCAAATAGAAAGGAACCTAAATTCGTGAAAGAAACATTACTAAAGCTCAAAATGCATATAAAATCTCACACACTAATAGTAGGTGACTTCAACACTCTGCTCTTGCCTCTAGACAGGACCTATAGACAGAAACTTAACAAAGAAACAAAAGAACTTATAGAAGTTATGACCCAACTGGTTTAACAGACATCTATAGAACATTCCACCCAAACACAAAGGGATAGATCTTCTTCTCAGCGCCACATGGAACATTCTCTAAAATTGACCACATAATAGGAAACATAGCAAACCTCCACATGTACAAAAAATTGGAATAACCCCCTGTATCTTATCAGACCACCATACATTAAAATGAGAATTCAATAATAACACAAATCGAAGAAAATCTACAAACTCATGGCAATTGAACAATGCACAATTGCTCCATCCCTTGGTAAAGGAAGAAATTAAAGACTTCCTGGAATTCAATGAGAATGAAGACACAACATACCCAAACTTATGGGACACTCTGAAAGCAGTGCTGAGAGGAAAGTTCATAGCACTAAGTGCCCCCATGAAGAAACTGGAGAATAGTCACACTGGAGAATTAATAGCACAGCTGAATGTTCTAGAACAAAAAGAAGGAAACTCACCCAGGAGGAGCAGACGCCAGGAAATAATCAAATTGAGGGCTGAAATCAAACAAGTAGAAACCAGGAAAACATTGAGAAGAATCAATGAAACAAAGAGTTGGTTCTTTGGGAAAGTGAAGTATTTTTTTCTGTCTTCTGCGTATATCAACTGCTTTACCCATCTTTGAAGACGTTTATGTATATTGTCTCTTTGCCCACCATTATTTTCAAACACTTATTCTCACTTTGCATTCAGAATCTATCCTGAATACTTTTGATTCCCTTTTATTAACTTGAAATTTTATATCAGATAGTTATTCAAACTTTCTTAAATATTTCCCCAAAATTTTTTCAATTCTGTAGCACAAGAAAATTCAGATCAATTTTTGTAAACTTAACACTGACACCTAACTAAATTCTCACAGTGGAAATTGTAGACCTTTTTGTATATGATACAATCTACACAAAGATTAGATGAAAATTGAATAGCAGTCTATAAATATAAATATATAATATACTTGTATACAGATAAATATCTGTATTATTCCATTCATATTACTGGAATAGTAACAATCATAGTAGAAGTAATGATAATAAAATAATTAGTAATTATGCATGTTATAGTAGCTTAAGAGTATTCTATTTCACTACCTTGAAAAACTGGTTACATTCTGAATGGAAGAAGAAGAATCAGTATATGATAATGCATAGATGAAACTGCAACATGTGCGAAGTCATGAATAAACAGAAAATAGTTCCTAAAAGAGGAAATGAAAAACTCTCTAGGAGGGTTTTGTCCTGCCTCAACTGTTTATGCAAAACTTTGGATTCCCCAAGAATGGCCTTACCAACTCTCAGGAGCTGATAGGTAAGTGAACAGGAATGACAGATACAAGCATCACCACCAGAATACAAGAGATGGCAAAAAGAATTTCAGGTATTGAAGATATAGTAGAAAAAATAGATTCATGGGTCAAAGAGCATCTTCAACAAATGGTGCTGGCATAACTAGATGTCAATATGTAGAATAAAGCAAATAGTTCTATATCTATTACTCTCCACAAAACTCAAGTCCAAATGGATAAAAATGCCTCAACATAAAATTAGGTTACACTGAGCCTAATAGAAGAGAAAGAGGTAAAGAACCTTAAATGTATAGGCACAGGAGACAACTTCCTGAATACATACCAGTAACACACACACTGAGACCAACAACTGATAAATGGGACTTCGTGAAACTGAAAATCTTCTGTAAGTCAAAGGACATTGTCAATAGGTTAAAATGGATACCTACAGAATTGGAAAATATCTCATCTGACACCATAGAAGGAAGATTTCCAATATAAATATGTAAAAACACAAGAAATTAGACACCATGAAGCCAAATAATCCAATTAAAAATGGGATAGAGAGCTAAACAGAATTTTCAACAGAAGAATCTCAAGTGGCTGAGCTATTCTTAAAGAAATGTTCAACATCTTTAACCATCAGGGAAATGCAAATCAAATGACTCTGAGACTCTATCCTACACCTGCCAGAAAGACTAAGGTCAAAAACACAAATGACAGCTTATGCTGGAGAGGATGTGGAGCGAGGAGAATATTCCTGCAGTGACAATGGGAATGCAAACTTTTACAGCAACTTTGGAATTCAATATGGCAAATTCTCAGAAAATTGGGACTCAATCTACCTCAAAATACAGCAACACCACTCTTGGACAAATGCCCAAAGTTTGCTCAAACATAAGGATACTTGTTCAACTGTGTTCATAGAATCTTTATTCGTATTAGTCTCTCAAGAAAAGAAATTACACATGAATTTTATTCTAGCAGGATTTTCTGTTGCTGTTGTAAATATCATGACCAAAAGTTGGCTGGACTACAGAAGGGTTTAAGTCCGATTTCACTTTCAGGTAATTATCACTTAGGGAATTCATGTACGGAACTCAATACAGGCACATGGGGCAGAAACAATGGAAATTTCCAGGTTTATTTTTTCTATATAAACAGAATGATAAAGAAAATATAAACCTGAAATGATGTAAAGATCAGAAATATTTAAAATGGGTATTAAATCCTGAGTGCATGACCAATATTACAGTAAGACAGGAGCTTGAATTTATACTGTCAATAACTGCTGACCACTCAATGTTCTGACAGTACAAAAAAGGACTATGCTTCAAAATAGGAAAGAATTTTCCAAGAATAGGAATTTTCAGAAATCAAAATAGAAAGAAGAATAGACACCAAGGCATAAAAGATAAACTGATTATCATGATGAAGTTAATACTTTCAAGTTGTGATAGCTAAATGAGATTTTATTTAAAAAAACCTGTGGTAAAAAAATTCATTGCAACTAGATGCAACTCATTATATTCTTTCATACCAGAACACATGTGCAAAATAACTATTCCAAGGACAAAACAAATACTCTATAGATCCCAGAAGAGGAACAATATAGAAAGGAACTTACCATGGTGGTATCAGATACCACTGGTACCCTGTTCATATGAAGGTAAGCAGCACAAACTTAAATTTTGTGGACGTTCTCACTTAACAATAAAAAAGAAAACCAAGTTATTCATAATTAAGTTTTAGGATGCGCATGACTAAGATATTAAAATTTAACACAACCAAAGAGAATTTGTTTTCATAACTTCATATAAATTACACTGTGATTAACAAAATAAGGAAGAATGGTTTGAAAGAGCCAATGGTTAGAATGATAAGTACTCAAAAAGACAGCTGACAAAAGATCATTACAACTACAGTAGATAAAAAGAAGGAAATAATTTCAAAAGAAATGAAAAATTACCTCAAAGCTATAGT